CTCTCTGGTCGCTTGTTTCTAGCGATCGAAAATATTTTCTGGGCACTTTCGGCCGCTCAACGTGTATAACTAAGAAGAGGGAACATTATAGATAACGTATAAGTTTTAGTAAATTATAATAATCCTATATCCCTTCAATTTATGTATAATAGCAAAAATAATTTCAAAACCCGATAATTTATGAGATATTGACATTACCATGATTTTTCATGAGCGTTATATACCACGTTCATAGAAGTGATTTGCAAAACCTCGGCGTGGTCTCGCGCGTAGGGTGCGAGATCTGAATATTAGAGATCACACGATCCTTTTTTCTTTTTCCGTAATTTTTTTTTGTTAAATAAGTGACATTGTTAATAAATACAAGCCAAATATATTTTTATTTAATTATTAAAATTATATGTATATTTCTAAAAGTTTTAAACTGCCAATTGTAGCAAAAATAATTTGACGTAATATGCATCGAATAAAAAACCAGTATTTTTATATGTAAATGAAATCTGTTTATCTTTAAAAAAAATCTGAAAAGAATTCATGTTTTTGTAATAATATTAGGTTTGATGTCGATTAGTACTTTCTGTGAAATATTTTTTTTTATAACTATCATCCGAATGTATGAAAATTCTGATAATGAATCAAATCGCAAAAATGCGATGATTAATATAATTATAAGGATGATGTCAATATAATTTTATAATTCACAAATCAAAAAGCATATGTGTAATATACAAATAATTTTTTATTAATTTATTAAAGTGATTCGGTATTCTTCCTATAGATGTTGGAGTACATGTTAAATTTTGGGCCGACTTTTAAAGCGTTGCTTTTTTTTCCCCCGCTCAACGCTCGAGTCGTCGCACCGGATCGCGCGCGGATGTATATTTCAGGAGTATTGCTCTATAAGAAATATACTGCGATCGTATCTTTCAGCAAATTATCAATCCTTTACTTTTGTTAATCTTCTGTGATATCTTCTTTATTCAACATGCCTTCTTTATTCACATGTTGAATAAAGAAGACATCACGGAGTTAAGTCATCATTCTAGTTTAAAATTACGCATTTCGTTCTGTCGATTCTTATTAACCTTAAATTGATATTAATAGAATTCTATATTAAAAAATATTACATTCTGTAGCACATAAGCGTAGACAGTAGCTCTTTGAAAGAAAACCGAATGTATCATAAAAATAATAAAGTAATATTTTAAAAGTACATTACTGTAGGAAGAGTATATGTTTATAAATTCTTATTTAGTTCGCGCGTTTCCGACTATGACGATATGCGCTAGAGTATCAGCGCGCTTGCGCAAGAGCGAAAAGGTACAGAAAGGTGAGGAGAATTAGTTGTAAGATGGCGAGACACGTGTGTGGCACGACGAAGCGTTGAAGTGCGAATTGCGATTCTCTCCTGAATTGTCGTCCATCAATATTGACTCACCGAACATTTCCATCATTGGATTCATCCGATTTCCTACAAATTTGGGGGCTCGTCCGGGATAAGAGCTGGTGAGAGACAAAAAGCGAGAAAAGACGAAAAGACGAAAGACAATAAGACAGGAGAAAGAAAAGACGAAAAGACGAAAGAGACGAAAAAGACGAAAAGACTAAAGACGAAGAAGAAAAGACACAAGACGAAAGACGATAAGACGAAAGAAAGAAAAGACGAAGAGACGAAAAGGCTAAAGACGAAAAGACGAAGAGGAAACAAGACGAAAAGACGCAAGACGATAAGACGGGAGACGACGGGACGAAGGGAAAGACGAAAAGGCGCAAGACGGAAAGGACACGACGAGAAGGAGGAAAGAAGAAGGAAGACGACATTTAAATCTCGAAGACATTAAGTATCCGAAAGGCATCGAGTGTGCAACTACAAGGTGACGCAGCGACACCAGAGATACATTGGCTAGACTGTGAATGCGTCGGTAACACCAACATCGAGAGAGCAGTGACAATACGACGCGGGTAAGCGCGCGACAGTAGCGCCGATAACGACATCGAAAGTGTAGTGGCAGGACTGC